GACTAGAAGACCTCCAAGGTCCCTTCCAACTCTGCTATTGTATTATTGTAGAAAAAACACACAAACCTAAAGCGCGGAGAGACATAAGACGAGCAGCCGGCAGCGGCGGCGGCTGCGTGCCGACTGGCAAGAGAACGCGGCGGCGACTTGCCCACCCCGCCTCATTTCTCTTCCCCTCGTTTTCCTATTGGCCACCTCGTCCCGACCAATGGGCGCGCGAGCCGGCTCCGGGCAACGTTCCATTTTGGAATGTTGACACAGCGCGGCAGCCAATGGCGGGCGGCGCTAAGGCGAGAGCGGTGACGATCCCCCCCCCCCGACACTTTTTGTAGCCGCTCGCTCCAGCTCCGAGGTGGGGGGGGCAGCCGGGGGAGGGGGCGGGGCCCGGCGGGGGAGCGCCGCTGGCTGGAGGGAAACTCTCGGCGGCGGAGGAGGCGGCGGCGTGCGGGGCTTCACCCTGCAAGCGATCTGCCCCTCTCCGGCCGCCCGGGAGGGGCCCTGGGGCGTCCCCGCACGCTCAGCCAGCCAAGCCAGGCAGCCGGCCGGCGGGGCCCCCGCAAGAAAAGCATGGAAGCAGCAGCCAAACCGCGGCTTTTCAAACGCGCCGCTTGCCCGGGCGGCGGCGGCGGTGGCGATAGCCGGATTTGCTCCCCGCCGCCGGGCTTGACGTCCGCCTGCTGCCCTGACAGCAGCCCCCCGGCCGGCGGCCCCGCTTGCAAGCCCCTCGCCGCCGCTCCGCCCGGCAACGCCGTTTACACGGTCCTGGTGGGCGATCCGGCGTCGCTCCGCAGGAGGAGAGCCCGGCGCCGGAGCTGCGAGGACGGCACCGGCCGGAGACCCTCTGCCGTCCCCGCCACCGGCTGCGCCCGAAGCAAAGTCCAGCTTTGGCCCAAGGTAAGGCGAGATCGCGCGGCTCCCCGTCCCGTCCCGCCCCGTCCGCACGCCTGGCCTTGGCTGGGTCGGAGGGAGAAGCAGCGGGTGGGTGTGTCCCCGGCCCGGGGCCTACGAGGCTTGACAAGGCGGCGGAGTTGCCGCTTGCAACGGGGAAGCCTCCCCCGTTTTTTTTTCTTTCCACACGCCCCCCCCGAGGGGACGGACGGGAGGGTTATTAAGTGGGGGGATCCAATCGGGGGTGGGGTCTCTTCTCCCGCTTTGCAGAGCCGGGCGGGGGCGGGAAGGGCTGCCCCCCCCTTTTCTTTCTCCCCACTCCCCGAGGGGACGGACGTGGGGGGTTATTTGGGGGAGAAGCGGGGGAGGAGCGGCCTGGAATCAATCGGGGGGGGGGTGTCTCCTCTCCCGCTTTCCAGAGCCGGCCGGGGGCGGGAAGCGGTGGTCCCCCCCCCTTTTTTTCCCCTTTCTCTCCCCCTTCCCCCCGAGGGGGCGTACGAGGGGGGTTATTAGGGGGAGAAGCGAGCCCGTGGGGAGGGCAGGGGGGGGCGGAGGGTCCGGGATCCAGTCCTGGGGGTGGGGTGTCTCCTCTCGCGCTTTGCAGAGCCGAGCGGGAAGGGGCGTCTGCCCTGCCCGCCCGCCCGTCGTGCAGATTGCAGGAAATTTAGACCCCCTAATCTCCCCCCCTAATCACGTCCTGCCCTTTAGGAAAGCCGGATTAGGGGGGAAGGAAAGGACTGGGGTGGGGTGGGGAGGGGTGACGGGCTGCACCCCGGCTGCAACTCTTTGCAAGCGGAGCGCGGCTTCCCAAGCCGGGAATTCCTCGCTCCGGCTTGGAGACGGGGCGGAGTGGAGGGGGGTGGTTTGGATTGCCTTGCGCTGCCCCCTTTGGAAAGCGCCCGTCGGCTCCAGTCCCCCAGCCGGACAGAGAGAGACACCCCCCCCCAAAGGGCCTCCGCTGGAGAGATCCTCAAACGGAGACGGCTGGGAACCCACTCCCGACGGCTGGGGCGACGGGCGCCCGCGGGACCCGAGGGTGCCGCTTCTCCCGGGAAACCCCCCCCCCCGGCCGGCTTTTTTCCGGGGGGCTCCGGCGGGGCGGCCTGGGGGGAAAAGATGGCGCCCTCCCGACTGCAGCGGCGGCGGCTGGGCGGAAAAGTTTGACCGAAGGGAGGGGACTGCGAAGGGGCCGGGACTTGGCCAGCCGCCGCGCGGGGCCGCCTTCTAGGCTCGCTCCGCCCGGCTTTGGCTGGGCTGGGGCTGCGTGCTCGGCCGGAGGCTCCTCATCCATCACTCGCCGCGGCCGCCCAGCCGCCGGGAAGCCAGCCCCGACCAGTCGGAGGGGTCGGCCGGCCCCGGAGGTGGGTCTCTCCCCTTCCCACCCAACCGGGGGTGTGTGCTTGGGGGAAGCGCCGCCGCCCTCGGAACTCGGGCGGGCCGCGTTCTCACGTGGGCCGGGCGGGGCGTCGGGGACGCGGGGCCGGGCGAAGGAAGGAGGCGAGCGCAGGCAGGACGGCGGTGGATCCCGCCCCGCTGCCCCTGGGAAGAGAGACACCGGATCCCCGGCATTGCGGGGCGCTCGCGGCACGGGGTGCAAGACCCGTGTCGGCTCCGTTCTCACGATCGCGTCGCTTCCAAGCCCCACCTGGTTGGGTGTCTGTGTGTGTGTGTTCCAAGTTGGTGCCCGCAGCAATGAGGGTGGCGATCGCTTCTCTGTCCCAGCTGGTCGGGGGAAAATCTTGATCTAGACTAGATCTAGGGTCATGAGGATTAGAAACTTGCTCCCGCGGTCGGATTTCGTGGTTCAGCAAGCGCAGTTGTTGGCGGAGGTCGGGCGGCAGCGCTTCTCCCTAGCGAGATGGTCGATAAATGCAATTAAATAAATAAATTTGGAGCCTTTTAGAGGCAAATGATGGAAGTCTGTTTCACACTTAAGTCCTTCTTATTTAGGGGGAAAAAACTATCCAGGTAAAAACCAAAGAAGGCTCGAACAAGCTTGGGCAGGTTGGGGTTGGACTAGATGACCTACAAGATCCCTTCCAACTCTTTTAATCTGTAAAGGGGAAAAGCCAACAATTCAGGTTTGATTGACTGTTTTCGATAATCCACAGCCAGAAAGGACCACAAGCCAGGATGGATCAGAATTGAAAGGGGAGGGGGGACAAAAGAGTTCAGGATGATGGATCTTGCAAGGGAGGGGAAGATGGGTGACGGGGCCAGTCGTGACCCTGGCTAACTGCAAAAGAGGAAGTTACACCTGTGGGATTTCCGCCATCCAGAAACGGTGACCATTGTGGTCCCAGAGTTCAGCGGTGGATGACGGAAAGCGTGTCGCGACTTGAACCCAAGACAGATGGATTTGTTTTGGGTGGGGAGCAGGTGACCACAGGCAAGGTGCAACCTTAGCTTGTTTTTTCCCCCCCTCTTTGGGTCAACCCAGAGGGACTGACTTTGCAGAACAAGCTTAATTTACATTAACTGACATTATCCTTGGGTTTGTATAATACCTTCCTTCGCTCCAGGTATAATACCTGGCCAGCATACCCCACACACCTTTCTCTTCCTATTTTCCTCAAGACAACCCTGTGAGGTGGGCTGGGCTGGGTTGAGAGGGGGGGGGGACTGGCCCAAAGTCACATGGTTTTCATGCCTAAGGTGGGACTAAAACTCACCGTCTCCTCGTGATTGGCCCAAGGACACCCAAAGGGTTTCTATGGCTAAGGCGGGACTACAACTCAGACTCCTGGTGATTGGCCCAAAGTCACCCACTTGGCTTTCATGCCTAAGGCGGGACTAGAACTCACTGTCCCCTGGTGATTGGCCCAAAGTCACCCAGTCAGCTTTCATGCCTAAGGAGGGACTAGAACTCAGGGCCTCCTGGTGATTGGCCCAAAGTCACCCAGACAGCTTNAGGGTCGTTGAGGCCACTTGGAGGTTTCTCTGTGTCCATTTGTGGTGCAAATGGTTCCTGTAGTCCACAGTTTTTCCCCTCTGGAAATCTGTTCCTACTCCCACACACTCCCAAGGATCTTCATCCCAAATTGCAGAGGTAAAAGTCTGTAGAGATTCTCCATCATCCAGGCCACGGTCGTCCCAAAGGTGCTTTTTTCAGGAGGCCACTGGACTTCCTTGTCTTTTTTTCTTGTGAAGACGTTTCGCTTCTCATCCAAGAAGCTTCTTCAGTTCTGATTGGATGGTGGGGAATGGAAAGAACAATTTGCATCGCTCAGGTGACCTTGAGGACAGAGATAAACCTCCAGGTGGCCTCAACGACCCTCTAAAAGGATGCAAATGACCAGCCGTCTGCAAGGAGCATAAATCCTTCCATTCTCCACCGTCAAAGTCAGAGCTGAAGAAGCTTCTCGGATGAGAAGAGAAACATCTTCAAAAGAAAAAACTCAGAAAGTCCAGTTGCCTCCTGAAAAAGCACCTTGGGGGACAGCCTCGACCTGGATGACGGAGAATCTCTACTGACGTTTCCCCATTTTACGACCTTTCTTGCCACGGTTGCTAAACGGATCACCGCAGTTGTTAAATAAGTTGGGAAGCTTTTGAAGTGGATTCAGCTTCCCCGTTGACTCTGTTGGTCACAAAAGAGGATCAGATGACCCTCCCCCCCCCGGGACGTTGCAACCTGTCATAAATATGAGCCAGCTGCCAAGCACCTGGATTTTGATCACGTGGGGATGCCACAACAGTCATAAATGTGAAAAAAAGGTCATAAGCAGGATTGGGATTCAGCCGGTTCGCACTGGTTTGGGCAAACCGGATGTTAATGTTGCATTTGGTTCGCCGAACTGGTTATTGCAAGAACTGGCTGGCCTCGCCCACCTCTCCCCTCCCAGGAGTCTCCACGCAGCCCATTCATTAAGCCAGCTGCTCCATGGAGGCTCTGGGAAGTTGAAAAACGGGCTTCCCAGAAGTCCGGAATGGGCCCCTTTTCTGGCCTCCGGAGGGCCTCCGGAGCCCGGGAGAGGCCGTTTTCACCCTCCCGGAGGCTCAAAGAAAGCCTCCAGAGCCTGGGAAGGGCAAAAATGCACATATACCCCCGCCATGGCATGCGCCCACCCAGTAAACAGGGGTTCCACCACAAAACCGCGTTCGACTAAAGCGCGCTCGACGGAACGGCGTAGCTGATGTCATCAACAGGGGGACAACAGCGCGGAGACAGAAGCACGCTGTAAACCCTAAACCTAAAATTAAC